TGAGGATTTCAGGGATTTTGGGATTCCCGAGCAGGGAATGGGGCGGGCTGGCTGATCCCTCGGGATGATCCCAAGGGATGTTCCCTGTATCCCAAGGCACCTTGTAGTTGATGGCGAAGGTGACCATCTGCATGGCCATGGACAGGATGTACACGGTGCTGTTCACCAGGCTCGGCTCGAATTCCTTGCTCAGATCCACAAATTCCTCCTCCCTGCAGCGGGAAAACACCCCAGGAATGTGGGTGTGGATGGGGAATGACCTCTGGAACCCCCCTGATCCCGGTTTTCTTGGGGAACAAGGCAGGTTGTCCCCAGGTGCTGCTCTCCTGGAGCCCCTGGAATGTGCTGGAAGCTCTCCCTGGATCCTTCTCCAGGGGAACATTCCCAGACACGCAGCACATTCCCACCGCTCCTGCCCAGCAGGAATTCGGGATGACTGGGGTTTTTTGGGAATTGGGGGCTCACCTGGGCCTGCTCCGGGCCTGGAATTCCCAGCAGGAATTTGGGATAACTGGGTTTTTTTGGGAATTGGGGCTCACCTGGGCCCGCTCTGGGCCTGGAATTCCCAGCAGGAATTCGGGATAACTGGGGTTTTTTGGGAATTTGGGATAACTGGTTTTTTTTGGGAATTGGGGCTCACCTGGGCCCGCTCCGGGCCTGGAATTCCCAGCAGGAATTGGGGATCACTGGGGTTTTTTTGGGAATTGGGGCTCACCTGGGCCCGCTCCGGGCCTGGAATTCCCAGCAGGAATTGGGGATAACTGGTTTTTTTTGGGAATTGGGGCTCACCTGGGCCCGCTCCGGGCCTGGGCCCCCCGGTAGAGGAAGACGAGGCTCAGGAAGTGCACGAGGAACTGCAGCAGCACCGTCAGCACCGTGTACAGGTTGAAGATGTTGGGAAGGGGCCTCTCCTTGGAAAGGGTCTTCAAAGGCTGGGAATGGGGGGAAAAAACAGGGAGCGGGGTGGGCTGGGATGCCTCGGGAAGGCTCTGGATCCCAGTGGTGCCCGTGGGATGAAGGGAGTTCCACCCAGGGCTGCAGGAATTCCACCCTGGGCTGTGGGAATTCCCCCTCGGGAGTGGAATTCCGGGGTTGGGGCGGCCCCGGAGGCGCTCGAGGACGAGGTGGGAGCAACCTGGCTCGTGGAATGTGCCCCTGGAGGCGGGACGGGCTGGGATTTAAGGTCCCTTCCCGTCCAAACCATTCCAGGATTCCCTAATTCCGCGATTTTGAGGAACAGCCTCAGTGGAACCATTTTTTCCTGCGTTGCCCTTTCCCACCTTTTCCTCCCGCTCGTCCCATCAATTGGGATCACAGGGAAGAACCAGCCTGGGAGCATCCCAAATCCAAGGGAACGCTAATTCCCACCGCTCCGGGATCAGGGACTGGGAATTTACCACAAAAACCGGGATGTTTTGGGGGAGAAAGGCCCTTTTCCTTCAGTCCTGGCGGGACAGGGACGGGCCGAGTGAGGTCCTGTGGAATTCCCATGGAATTCCCGGCGCTCACCTTGGAGCGGGAGATGAAGCTTTGGGAATATCCCAAATCCAGGGCACACAAAATCCCACCCCTCCAGCATCGGGGACTGGGAATTTACCACAAAAAACGGGATGTTCTGGGGGAGAAAGGCCCTTTCCCTTCAGTCCTGGCGGGACAGGTCGAGCGGGAATTCCCACGGGATTCCCGGCGCTCACCTTGGAGCGGGAGATGAAGAGGAAGCAGCCGGCCAGGAGCAGCCCCTGGAGCGTGGCCTGGAAGTCGCTGAACTTGACGCCCTCGAGGTAGAGGACGCTCTGGCTGTAGGCCAGGATGAGAGCATTCAATGCCAGGATCTTGAACATCTGCAGCGTCGTCACCAGCGTGCAGCGGCCCTGCTTGATCACGTGGCAGACTGGGGGAAAAAATGGGAAAAACGGGGATAAACACGAGGAAAACAGGGCTCGGGGCTCGGCCCTGCCCTAAAGGAGGGTCCTGAGGGGATTCGAAGTCCCACGTGAGGGTTGGTCCATGTAAAATGGTGGGAAAGGCCTGGATTCCCACATAAAATGGCGGCAAAGTCTTGGATTCCCACATAAAATGGCGGGAAAGGCCTGGATTCCTACACAGAATGGTGGGAAAGCCTCAGATTCCCACACAAAATGGTAGGGGAAGGTCTGGATTCCCACACAAAATGGGAAGGGCTTGGATTCCCACATAAAATGGTGGGAAAGGCCTGGATTCCCACATAAAATGGTGGGAAAGCCTCAGATTCCCACACAAAATGGCAGGAAAGGCCTGGATTCCCACACAAAATCGGAAAGGCTTGAATTCCCACATAAAATGGTGGGAAAAGGCCTGGATTCCCACACAAAAAGGTGGGAAAAGGCCTGGATTCCCACACAAAAAGGTGGGAAAAGGCCTGGATTCCCACACAAAATGGCGGCAAAGCCTTGTGGATTTGGGGCTGTTTCTCCCGATCCCAACCCTCTCTCCTGGGTTATTCCCAGCCTGGATCTGGGGCTGTTTCTCCCCATCCCAGCCCTCTCTCCCAGCTCATTCCCGGCTCATTCCCGGGTTATTCCCACACTCACTGCACTGGATGGAGGAGAGTTTGGAGGTGAAGGGGGCTGCAATGCTGGCGTCTCCCAGTTTCACCACCGGGGCTCGTTCCTCCTCCAGGTCCTTCAGCACTTGGCTGAGCCGCTCCTGAGGGGCGGGAAAGGCGGGATGAGAATTCCCAGAACCATCCCTGCTCCATGGACAGGGGAATGGAGGGAAAAGCTGCTCCTTTCCCACCCAAATCCACGGGGAAAAGGAAGGAAGGTTGGGCTCTGCCCGGGCTGAGGGGTTTTAAGGTGCCTTCCCAGCAGAATTCCACGATCTGCTCCCTGTTTTCCCTGGGATCACATCCCAGCTCCGGGAGCGCCAGAGGAGGACTCAAAAGCCTGGATAACCCCTCTGGAATCGCACCCTGTGGATGGCCAGCTGCTCCTCCCGCTGGGACAGGACCCTGTGCTTGGCTCCCCGCGACGTGGGCTTCACATTCCCGACTCCTGCCCCCGGAATTCCGGCTCTGCCGTCCCCGGGGCCGTCCCGGGGCCGCTTCTTCCGCTCGGGAATCCTCTCGGGAGCGTTCGCCAGCAGGGCCACTCCTGGAAAAGGGAGGAAAAAACAGGGGAAAAAAGGTAAATCCCTTGGGTTTTCCACATAGCTGGTGGCTGCAACTGGAGCAGGGAATTGGGGAGAGATTTTAGGGAAGAAAAGGAGGGGGAATGAGGGAACTGGGGAGGGATTTCAGGGAAAAAAGGGTTGTAAAGGCCAGGATCCCAACCTGGAGCCAGGAGAGGAGGGAATTTGGGGGAGAAAAACGTAGGGAGAATCATGCAATTTGGGAGGGATTTTAGAGGAAAAAAGCAGGGAGAATCATGGCATTTCAGGGAAAAAAAACCAGGGAGAATCCTCCTGGAAGAAGCTTTTGGAGTCAATTCCTGCTGGTGTGTGATTCCAGGAGCAGAGAAATCCCCCTGTATCTGAATTCCTGCCCCCAAAGGATCCGGGCAGGCGGATTCCCAGCCCTGGCACTCTGGAAAACCCCGGGAATTGGGGGCAATCCCGGGAATCCTCACCCACATCCGCGTGTTTCAGGGCCCCCACGTCGTTGGTGCCGTCCCCGCACATGAGGGTGGAGAAGCCGAGGCTCTTCAGGGTGGTGATCACGAATTCCTGGCGGGAAAAGGCCCAAACGTCGGGAATTGGGAGCTGGAAAGGGGCTCAGGGATCTTCAGGATCACGTGGGACATCCGGAGCCTCACACCCGGGCTCCTAAAAGCTTCACATTTTGGGAATTCCAAGCTGGAACGGGCTTGGGATTGTTCAGGATGACAACAGGGACACCCTGAGCCTCCAAGAGCTCTGAATCCTGGGAATTCAGAGCTGGAATGGACTCAGGGCTCTTCAGGACAACAACAGGGACACCCCGAGCCTCACTCACAGGCTCCAGATTTTGGGAATTCCGAGCTGGAAAAGGCTCAGGGCTCTCCAGGATCACAACGGGGCCACCCTGCTTTTCCACCCGCGCCTCCCAAACGCTGGGAATTCCCCGGGATAACCCCCCCTCGTCCCCCTCACCTTCTGCTTGGGCACGACCCTGGCGAAGACGCGGATGTGCGGGATGAGCCGGAGCAGCCGCTCCCGGTTCCCGCTCCGGAGGTGCTCCAGCCCCTCCCCGGTCACGCACAGGTCGAAGGGCTCCGTCAGCTCCCGCTGGGATTCTGGGAACGCCGGGAGCACCACGGCCCCATCCCGCGATTCCCACTGCCAGGGGGAGCCTGCGGGGACAGGGAGCGGCCTCGGGATCAGCCTCGGGATCGGCCGGGAACGGCCCGGCCCCGCCCGGATCCCAGCGCTGGGAAAAGCGGGAATTCCGGGTTCTTGGGGGGGGGTTGGTCTTTTTTCCTTGTGGTTTTTATGGGTCTTATTTTGGGGGTTTTTGTGGGTTTTTTGGGTCTTATTTTGGGGGTTTTGGTGGGTTTTTTGGGTCTTATTTTGAGGGGTTTTGTGGGTTTTTAAGGTCTTATTTTTGGGTTTATTTTGGTGTGTTCGGGGGTTTTTCAGTGTGTCTTTAGTGTGGGGGTTTCTCTGGGTTTTGCCCTTATTATTTTGGTGTTATTTGGGCTTTATTTTGGAGATATTTGGGCCTTACTTTGGAGTTATTTTGGCCTTATTTTGAAGATATTTTGGCCTGGTTTGGAGTTATTTCGGCCTGATTTTGGAGTTATTCTGACTCTATTTTGGAGTTATTTTGGCCTTATTTTGAAGATATTTTGGCCTTATTTTGAAGATATTTTGGCCAGATTTTGGAGCTATTTTGACCCTGTTTTGGAATCTCTTTGGCCTGTTCCCCCCAGCCCATCCCAGATCCCATTCCGGGCACCTTTGGAAGCTGGAGGCTGCAGGATGAGGGTCTTTTCCTTCTGCAGGAAGTGCAGCTCCCTGGCCACGTGGCAGGCGGTCAGGGGGTTGTCCCCGGTGATCATCACCACCTGAGGGACACGGGACAGGGAATTCTGGGAATTCCAGAGGCACCAACAAAATTCCCGCCTGGAGCGGGTGCAGGTCCCCAGGGAAGGGCCTTGTCCCGTTATCCCACCCCAAAACCAGCCCCACATCCACAGCATTTCCCTCTTTCCCACCTCTTTTCCCTCCGTTTTCCCCCTTTTCCCTCCCAATCCCCTGGAAGTGGCACCTGGGACGGGGTTCAGCGGAGCCCATGGAATGTTTGGGCTTTTCCCACCCGCCCGACCCCCTTTTCCCTGGAATCCTGCCCGTCCTCACGTGGTGGGAAGCGTTCTGGATCTCCCTGATGACGGATTTGGAGTCGGCCTTGAGGGGACATGAGACCACGATGAACCCCACGAACCTCAGGTCACATTCCAAGGTCTCCCTCTTCATCTCCCGCACCTGCCGAGGGAAGAACCGCCTGGAACACTCGGGAACAGCCCCTGGATTTTCCAGCAGGTGATTCCCTGAAGTTAAAGGACCCCCTGGGAACGCCGGAGAACCCCAGGAATGGCTCCGGCTGCTCAAAAAAGGCTTTTTTTGGCACAAGAAGCTCCTCATTCCCAATCAAAACTGGGCCCTCGGCCAAGGAATTCCACAGCAAACCTCTCCAGGTGTTCCAAGGAAAGACCTGATCCTGCTTAGTCAGCAGGAAACCGGGAATACTGCAGGGAACACGGATCCACAACACCCCAAAACTCACGGTTGGGGGGGTGGTTTTCCCAGAAAATCCCGATTTTATCAGCAGATCTGGGCGCCCACATCCCATAAAAAAGCCCCTCCCTTCCCAGCCATCCCATTTCCCTGGATTTGCAGGCTGGGAAGGATCCAGGTACCTGCTGGTGGGTGAGGGGTCCCAGCTCCTTGTAGCCCAGGGCCAGGACCCGAGCGCCCTCGTGGGAGATGTCCCGGTGCACGGCGTGGTAGTTGCTGGGACATTGGGATAACTGGGGGAAAAGGAGGGAAAAACACGGGATTCAGGGAGTTTCCCAGGGAATCCGGGAGCGGATTTGAGCTTTTTGGGGAAAAAAGGGGGGGAAAAACAGGGGAAAAGAGACTCTGGGATTGTCACCTGCCCTTCCCACAAACTCTGGGATTGTCCCTTGTCCTTCCCACAAACTTTGGGACAAGTCCCCATCCCATCCATCCCCCAAACTCTGGCATTATCATCTGTCCTTCCCACAGATTTCGGGATTATCCCCTGTCCTTTCCTTCCCACAAACTCTGGGACAAGTCCCCATCCTGCCCATCCCACAAACTCTGGGATGATCCCCTGCCCATCCCACAAACTCTGGAATTATCCCCTGCCCATCCCACAAACTCTGGGATGATTCCCCGAGTTCATCCCACAAACTCTGGAATTATCCCACAAACTCTGGGATTATCCCACAAACTCTGGGATGGTCCCCCGCCCATCCCACAAACTCTGGAATTATCCCCTGCCCTTCCCACAAACTCTGGGATGATCCCCTGAGTCCATCCCACAAAATTGGGGATGATCCCTGTCCATCCCACAAACTCTGGGATGATCCTTTGCCCACCCCAAACCCTCCATTCCCACCCCTAAATCCCTCCCTTCCCACACAACCCCCCGATCCGCCGGAATTCCTACTCCGCCCCCTCTCCCGCCCCTCCGCGGCCCCGCTGGGGGTGGAATTCCCGTGTTTTTTTCCCCGGGAATGTCTCACCATGGGCCGCAGGGTCTCGGGCGCGCCCTTGACGGCGGCGACGAAGGCGGGGGAGGCGCCGGGGCCGCGCTCGTAGGAGGCCAGGACCGACATCCGCTTCAGGGCACTGGAGAAATGAAAGCGCTGGTGAATTTTCATCCCCGGAGTTTTTAGACTCCTTGGGAAAACTTTCTCATCTGGGAAAACAAAGAGATCGGGACATCCTGAAAGGGGGTTTTGTTTCTGCGGAGGGGGAGGAAAAAAAAAAGGGGATAAAAAAAAAACAATGATGACGAAAAAATAAAAAAGGTGCCACCCCGGGGGAATCAAGGGGGAATTGAGTAAAATTCAGGATAATTCTGGTGGGATTCAGAGGAAATTGGGGGGATTCGGGTGGAATTCAGGATAATTCATGTGGAATTTGGGGCAGTTTGGGTGAAATTCAGGCAGGATTCAGGGCAATTCGGGTGGAATTCGGGTGGAAATCAGGACAATTCAGGTGGAATTCAAGTGGAATAAAGGGGAATTTGGGTGGAGTTCAGGTGGAATTCAGGACAATTCGGGTGGAATTCAAATGGAATTCAGGGGAATTCAGGATAATTCATGTGGAATTCAGGGGGCATTTAGGGGAATTTGGGTGGAATTCAGGCAGGATTCAGGACAATTTGGGTGGAATTCAGGACAATTTGGGTGGAATTCAGACGGAATTCAGGCTGAATTCAGGATATTTCCGGTAGAATTCAGGGGGGACTCAGGGGAATTTGGGCGGAATTCAGGCAGAATTCAGGACAATTCAGGTGGAATTCCAGGGAATTTGGGGGGAATTCAGGCAGGATTCAGGGGAATTTGGGGGGAATTCAGGTGGAATTCAGGACAGTTCCGGTGAAATTCAGATGGAATTCAGTGGGATTTGGGTGGAATTCAGGCCATGGGACGTGTCCCTGCCCTCGGATCGGGATGATCCTCACGGTCCCTTCCCATCCAACCCCTCCCAGACTCCCCGGGCCGGGATTTGCCCGGAATGTGGGATTTACCTTTGGTGAGGGTCCAGTCCACGGCCAGGAGCATGGCCTTTTCCAGAGGGTCCCCCACCAGCGTCCCGTCCTCCAGCTGCACCAGGGAGTGGCAGGTGGCGATGGCCCGGTGTGTTTCCACGGGAATGTCGGACACGGGAGTCACCTCCTTCCCTTCCCTATGGAATAACCTGCTCTGGGACACCCTGGAACCACTCCCAGCCCGGAATTCCCAGACACGGGAGTCACCTCCTTGCCATCCCTAGGGAATAACCTGCTCTGGGACACCCTGGAACCACTCCCAGCCCAGAATTCCCAGACATGGGAGTCACCTCCTTCCCATCCCTGTGGAATAACGGGGCAAAGGACCCGCTCTGGGACACCCCGGAACCATTCCCAGCCCGGAATTCCCAGACACGGGAGTCACCTCCTTCCCTTCCCTATGGAATAACCCGCTCTGGGACACCCTGGAACCACTCCCAGCCCGGAATTCCCGGACACGGGAGTCACCTCCTTCCCATCCCTGTGGAATAACGGGGCAAAGGGCCCGCTCTGGGACACCCTGGAATGATTCCCAGCTCGGAATTCCCGCCCCAACCCAGCGGGGAGCAAAGGCCATGGGACAGTGGGAATTAGGACCAAATCCCGAGATTTCGGCCGGTTCTGCCAAGGAAACTCGGGGAATCGGCACGTCAAAGGGCAGATCCAAAGGATTTGGGAGGCTCCAAGAGTCGGGAATTCCGGCGGCGGGACGGGAAGGGGCGGGATGTGCCACAGGGAAGAGCCTCAGAATCCCAGGGAATTCCCACCAAACCCCCGATCCCCGAATCCCCGGGGATCTCCCCCCGCCCCGCCGGGACGTTCCCGAGGAATTCCCGCCCGGAAACCCGGGAATGGGGGCTCCCAGGACCCACCTGAGCCCGGCCACCCCCCGCACCACCAGGTGGTCGCTGGTCAAGGTCCCGGTTTTGTCGAAGCAACAAACTTGGACCTTCCCGGCAAAGGGGATCCGGAAAGGCTCCGTGCAGTAAACGTCTGCAGAGGGAAAACAGGGAAAACAGGGAATGTGGGTGGGAATCCAGCCCAAGGCTCCGTGCAGTAAACGTCTGCAGAGGGAAAACAGGGAATTCGGGTGGGAATCCAGTGGGATTTGCAGCCCCACAACTCCCAGGGATCCAGGGGCAGCCACAGCTTCTCCGGGAATTCCATCCCATCCCCTCCCCGCCCTCCCAGCCAAGGATTCCTTCCCCAAATCCACCTCAATCCCCCTTTCCCAGGGGGAAGCCATTCCCTGTGTCCCGTCCCTCCATCCCTTCTCCCAGGTCCCTCTCCAGCTCTCCCAGAGCCCCTGGAATGTGCTGGAAGCTCTCCCTGCTCCAGGGGGGGGAACATTCCCAGCTCTCCCAGCCTGTCCCCGGAGCAGAATCCCAGAATGCTGGGCTGGGAATGCCGGGAATGCCGGGAATGGGGACTCACAGAGCTTGGCCAGGGCGATGAGGGAGGTGTTGACAGCCAGGGAGAGCTCGATGGGCAGCTCCGGGGGCACCACGGATGTCAGGATCAGGGCACATTCCAGGAACAGCCGGTACTGGTTCCGACGGGGATCCTTGGTACCTATGGAATGAGGGACGGATCAGCTGGGAATGGGGACGGATCAGCTCCAAATCCTGGAGGAACAGGGAGCAGATCCCGCCCGGGAAGGATCCCGGGATCCAGGGTGGGCTCCTGAGGTGGAGCTCCAGAGAAGGTGGATCCAGGAGTAATTCCCGGGGATTGGCACCTGTCCTTCCCAAAAACTTTGGGAAAAGTCCCTGTCCCGTCCTTCCTAAAAACTTTGGGAACGTCACTTGTCCTTTCCACAAATTTTGGGATTTGTCCTTCCCACAAACTCTGGGACAATTCCCTGTCATCCCCACAAACTCTGGGACAAATTCCTTCACCCTTCCCACAAACTTTGGGATTTGTCCTTCCCACAAACTCCCTTTGGGACTCCTCCTTCCCAAACCTTCGGGATGAGCCTCCCCCCTCCTTCCCTGACCCCTTGGGAATTCCAGCAGGACAGGGGGGACAATCCCAAGGCCCCCAGGGAGCCTTCCCGGAGCCTTCCCGGAGCATTCCCAGCACATTCCCACCCTCGATCCAGACGTAGGCGGCGGCGGCGACGGCGAAGACGAGGAGGAAGAGGATGAAGATGAAGGTCTCCAGGTTATTGGCCGTCACCCTCTTCACCCCAAACAGGATCGTCCGGAGCAGCTTTCCCTGGGAACAAGAGCCTTCAGTGCCAGGGCTTCAGAGAGATCCCACAGAATTCCTTAAAAACGGCCCCAGGATTCCCATCACGGCTCCGGGGTTTTGTTTCCAGAGCCTGGGAATCTCGGGGCTTCCTCTTCCCGACCTTCTTCCTTCCTCTTCCCAACCTTATTCCTTCTTCTTCCCAGCCTGATTTAACCCTCTTCCCAATCCTTATTTATTCCTCTTCCCAACCTCACTCCTTCCTCTTCCCAATCTCATTTATCCCTTTCCAATCCTTATCCCTCTTCCCATCTTTAATCATCCCTCACCCAAACCTTATTTATTCCTCTCCCCAACCTTTCTCCCTCTCCCAAACTTCACTCCTCCCTCTTCCCAACTTCATTCCCATTCCAAACCTCATTACTTCCTCTTCCCGACTTCATTCCCATTCCAAACCTCATTCCTTCCTCTTCCCAACCTCACTCCAAACAAGTTCCTCTTCCAACCAAACCCGGAATTCCCGTTCCCAGCTCACCTGGGAGGTGTTGAATCCCGTCCTCAGGGCGTAGGCGACGCATCCGTTATCCACGGCTGCGGGAAGGGGGCAGGAAACACGGAGTCAATCCCTCCAGGGTCACTCCAGCCCGGAGTGAATCCCTCCAGGGTCATTCCAGCCTGGAGCAAATCCCTCCAGGGTCATTCCAGCCTGGAGTGAATCCCTCCAGGATCATTCCAGCCCGGAGTGAATCCCTCCAGGATCATTCCAGCCTGGAGCGAATCCCTCCAGGGTCATTTCAGCTCGGAGTGAATCTCTCCAGGATCATTCCAGAGTCACTCCAGGGTCACTCCTCACACCCCCAGAGGGACTGAGCTCATTCAGAGCTCATTAACAATCACAGTAATCCATTAATTATTAATTAATTAATCCCAAACCTCCTCCCGGGTCCCTCCAGCACCCCGAGCTCCCCCCTCCTCACCCCCCCCAAGGGGCTCATTCAGCTCCCCCCCCCTCATTAACCAGCCCGTTAATTAGCGCCCCGGCGCCACCCCCCAGTGCCAGGCGGATCCCTCGGGACCGGCCGGCATTCCCGGCGGGAATGGGGGGGTCGGGAACGCACGTTTGAGCCCCGAGGAGGCCTTTTGGGGCGGGATGTGCTGCACCACCCGCGTGCCCCCGAAGATCACGTGGAGCCGCGAATCCCCCTCCATGTCCAGCACGTGCTCCGGGCTCAGCTCCTCCACCGGCTCCTGCGCCAGGGAAAACAGGGAA